TTCCTGCTCCAGTCGCACTGAGACTTTGGTTAAATTGAAGCTGGACAGTGGTTCAGTGAAGCAGACTGGTCAAGTGAATTAACAGCAGACACCCCAGGCTTTGAGCAACTCTATCTAAAGCCCTGCAAACAGATTTTAAAGCTGTCCTTCTCTTTAATGAAGACTGACTGATTAAAAAGCCAGTCCCAAATTCAAAAGCACAGACAAAACTATTCTCTGACCACATAATGCATCGCATCAGGACTAAAACCAGTTTTTAAACTCATCCACTTAGTGCAATATTTACTTCCTAGACTTTGATCTCAGCATCTCCTGTACAATGTCAAATTCTTGGGTAATTCACACATGACACAGCACTAAAGAAGGAAAACCAGTTTCAGCTGTATTGACTAAGTATCTTTTTTTTCCATAACAGCTCACATTTTTACCAGTATAGGAACAAACCCTTTTGCAATTGTTTGGAATGAAAGTTACATCAGGTATACATGTGCAGCTGTGTTGATGGTCTGACCTGTTGGGAAAAAAAAAAAAAAAGCAAAACCAATGCCCAAAACACAGCACTAGAACCATTACGCACTGAAAATGAACACTGTACACATCCACTACTCCCCACACACAAGTCACAAGTGCAATATTCTTTGAAAAAAATTGCTCCTCAAAGGAAACCCAAAGAGGCAGAGTTTTTTAGTGTTATGTTTAGTAAGTTAATGTGGGCATGTGTTGGAAATCACAGGTTGGAATTTTTTTTAATTTTTTTTTTTTTTTTTTATAAGGCAAGAGGTTTACGTTCCAGAAGAATAGATGGGGTAAAGAATGAAGAAATGTTTCAAAAATGACACATTCTTTCAAGTTTCATTCTCATTTGACATACATATTACAAAATAAAGATTTTTAAAAGTGCTATATGCTTTGTAAGTCTCATCACGATATGTAAAGCAAAATTTTACACCTGCTGCCAAAGACAAAATGTTAGTGGCAGTGTTAGCAGTAGATTAGACTCTAGCTCTCTCATCTCCCTCAATGTCTGGGACAACCTCCTTCATCATGCTTAAAGAAAAAACAAACAAACAAACAAACCCCACTCTACACATATTCCAGAATAATTTAGAGTCATCTTCTAAAGTAACAGACTCCGTGAAGTTGATGACAGTTCACTAGCGGCTTCCTTGATACCAAACCCAAGGCGCATTCTACCCAGTATCCTGTGGCTCTTTGATCAGCCAGTATGAGAGACAAATTGTTGAGAGGTATGCAACCATGATGACATTGACAGATATGCCAAAAGGATTTAAAAAAATTCCAACAAAAAACAAATGTAAAAAAATTCATCCACCAGCCCTCAGCTGTTAGTCGATTTTAAAAAGGTAGAGCAGTTTGCAGTAAACAATGATATTTTAAATCTTCAAGGACGTACAGAAACACCCTTCCCACTCAGCAATCAGACGTGAAGGATTTCTGCAGCACAGTCTTCTGGCTCTGTGTAATGTGAAGAGTTTGTGTCTGAATGGTGAACCCCAAGCATTTCTTTACTTTCAAAGTTTGGCTCCATTAGTGCAGGTTTTTCAAAAATATTCTTTTTGCTAGTTTCCGGACAGTTTTGTACATATATTACTCGGTTATAAGCTTTAAGTCTCTTCCATAGCTGTACATACACTTTGCATTGTACATACATGAACAGAAGTCCTCCAGTGAAACCAATAGCCACAACCACCAGCTTAGTCCAAAATGGCCACTCTAAAATCCCTGGAAGAAAGAAAATAAAAAAAGAAGAAAGAAAAAGGACCTGGTCAATATTGGCTGGACTACATTAGATCTCTCAAAAACATCCTGTAAGGAAACTGCCACAGAGTTTGGGCCATGCAAACTATTCTCATTTTGCCATTTTTCCTGTCTGGCCTTTTTTTTCCCCACTTCAAGTCAAACACATGCAGACTTCTACTTCACATACCACATTTGTTCTCAGCCACCAGAGGAAAAACAAAACAACTGATTCTCTGTGTCTGAGCCCTTGTGCAGCACAATCACAGAGCCAAGGCAACAGCCAGTAATACGTTTAGGTCCTTTTACACCTGTTTTTAAACAAAAATTGCATCAGATTATGAAAGGGATCTATGGCATGGCTTCCTCTTCATAGCAGGAGACTCAACTCAGTGACACAAGAAGTCTGTTCCACTCTGTGATCACACAGTACATAGAATCACAGTCTTTAAACTCAAAAGGGAACAATTGTTACCATCTAGCTTGTCATGTTTGTTATACAGACCAGAAAATTTTATCTGCATCAGACCCAGTAACTTGTAGCTGAACTAGAGTGTCTCTTCTGATGCAAAACTGCAAGCATTGGAGATGCTGAAGCATTCTGGCAAGCTTATCCTCCGTCATTAAAAATTACCACCATTACTTTTCCTGAATTTGTCTAGCTTGAACTTTTAGACAGTGCATCTTGTTACATCTCTATCAACTACTTTTAAATGAGAGACTATTCATTTTATACATCTTCTGCTTACATGGGTCCTGTGTCTACCCAGCCTCTCTCCTCTTTAAAGATAAGTGGCATCACAAGATGGACATGAAACCACGCTGAATCAACCACTATAAGGTTTCTCAGGGAATAAAATCATGGCCTTCCAAGTCTTCAATGTTTTTACCAAGATACAGGCCAGTATTCTTTTGGAAATGCATGGTAGCGTGGGAGGAATGAAAATATCTTAGTCCCAAAATACAAAGGGCACTGCGGCGTGACTACTGATGAAATCCCACCTGTGACTAATACCTGAACCTCTGATTCACAGGTGAGCTATCTGATACCATCTGTAGGCAGTAATAGTACATGCTTGCCCCCGTGTAGGCAGAATGTATACCCACACACACTGCCCACACCCCCCAGCTCATTACAGCACTGCCCAGATTTAGAATCCAAATGAAGGGAGCAAAGGCGGCACTAGAACGTGTACTAAATATTCACACTATTCCTCCTATTTATGTTCATCTAATATATTTAGTGGCTAAAATAACATGGAGACAATAAATCTTTGAAAGCATATGCTTTTCATTATCATATGGAAACCTTACACTGAAAGGCCAATTTTCACCGTACATGAAAGAGATGGGGTTGGATGGAACAGAAACTGAAAGATTTCATTCAAAGCATCTTCCTGACTGAAGTCATGAACAATCAGACTATAGCCCAAGTGAGAAATGACAGCAAAACTGTTCAGTTTGAAGTGTGATTCTGCTCTGAAGAGACTGTAACAGTGCTGTGGATTTGCAGTTTTATTGATGCTCAGCTGCCTCCCTAGATGACAGTCTTCAATTACCAGCAAAACATTTTCCACCTGCATGTCTAGTTGGCATGCAATGCTGTGTGAGCAAGGACAGCTTGCCTTCTAATGGCTCCCAGCCTTAGTAGATACCCCGTCCCTTCTACCCCCACTTTCAGGGACAGCTCAGCTGCCTGAGAAACAGTTCCGTGACAGCTGCAAATTTGCAGCCCAGCATACCCAGGTAAACAGATTTCAGTTTGGTAAGTTTACAGCTGGCATACTAAAGAAAACCTACTATTCAAGAAGTTAAGACACCCCTGCAGTGGGGTGGCAGCCACTACATGAATTGCAGTGCACCTCATCTCATTTGCGTGGATTGAAGTCCTAAGAATCAACCTGAATTTCTTCTGCTTCAGGCACAACCACTCATAAAAATTTCTCAAGTCTAACATGGCTTTCACAGGAGACTTGTTCTAACCCACCTCACAGTTGACTGAACAGAAAGAACACCCTGTTGATTTACCTCAAAAGATTTGGATTTAGATTCCTCTTACTACTTCTCTTTTTAAAAACTGTTCTGGTTTTGCCCAGTTAAAAGGTAGCCATAGCAGCAAACAAATGCTTACGTCCCTACCTGCTCAGTAAGTGTTCCAATTCAAAACTAAATTAGCTAAGGCAGTGCAATTTTGTGTCTGGCTACAGTGGATTAGCTTTCATATCCGTGCATTTCACAAGTGCAAACTAAATTGACTTGAACAAACTTAAAAAAGCACCCACAGATTAATTCACACTGATTTAACTAAATCATTTTAGAACTGTGCTTTTAAACCAACCCAACCTCAGGCTAAAGCTGACTAGTCTAAGTATAAACATTACCTGCACGTTCATGCTCCGCATCCTCTCTGCATTCAGGACAAATAATTATTCCAAGAGAGTAAGTGGGAGATAAGCAAGTAACATACCAGTAGTCTGTCCCTGTTTAATCTCTTCAGCAGTCCTGTCTATCAGGACATAGAGAGACCACACAACGCAGGTGATGGCAATGATGTGGAATGTTACAGAGCACATGATCTTCCTCCTCTCACTGGCCGTCATCTGCAGCTTCTCCCACTGGCAAGAAACCCAGAAGCAGAACAAGAGATTAGGTGTTCACTGTAGTTGCCAGAGAGTATAAAAAGAGAACACTGATAAGAGCAAAAACCACGCAGGACACCAGTTTCCTCCTAGCACGGATTTTAAAAGTCAGACGGCATTATTGCTCTGACCACAGCATGTGTGCTACAGCTGGCAGCTCACCCTGCTCTGATGGGACCCAGCCTGGAGCCGGAGGGGACCTCCAGCACTCAGCTCCGACCTGGAGCTTCAGCACAATGTCACCGCACCCTGCCTACCCACGCAGGGGCAACTCCAGCACAGATGGACCCTAACGCAAGGCCTTGTGCGGTGCAAGCAAGGCTGCTCCCTCGTGTGTTCCCCGCTCAACAGCGGGTACCCACAGTCACAGCTGAGCATCGTGAGTGGCAAAGGGTACCCTTGCTCAGGCAGGCAATAAAACACTGCAGTGAAAGTGGTACATGATCCGACTGACCAGTCCATGTACGACATCTCACGCTGAGCTCTGTTAGAGTCCCTCGGTGCACAGTCAAGGCTGTTTAGCACTTAGATCAAGGCTGTTTAGTTCTCACCTCCTACCTCTGGCGGTTTCATTCAATCTTCACATATATTTAACACTACTTACAGCAGCGACACCCACATTTTATTTTCAGTGTTTCAAGTGCACTCAAATACATGTGCCCTGAGAATATACAGTGGAACTGGGATGACAGCTTTTGTAAGTGAGAGGACGCAGCAAATTAAATCCCCAGACCCGCATCTATCAGTAATGTTTATACAGCCCACACAGAAAACACAGTCAGGTCGCTGTCATTTAGGAAAGACACAAAAAAACTAGACAATTATTATTTAATTATAATAATTATTATCATAAGATTATTATAGATTCTTAATTTCTTAATATGCAAAGAATTGTTCAAAACCAGCTTTTATTTCTTTCACCTGAGACACCCAGAAGTTAGTTTGTTTGGTTTTTTTAATTATTTTTTGGCCATTTCCCCTATATCTATGATGGAAGTTCTTGAATGTGAGATACACATCCCTCAGCATATCCGCTTGGAACAGAGAGTTAAGATGAGCTTTTCTCACACTTTCACAAAATATATGCTGGGACACATAAGCTTCTCATACATACCTATGTGTTTCTAGAGAGGTGCATTTGATGTCTCCCAGAATAATTTCCAGAAAAAGAGGACTTTGGAAAGGAGGAATAACGAGAAGAGAGTGAGGATGACCTGAGTGGTATGATTGAGATCACCCAGTATGTTGAAATATTGTTTCCACTGCTACAAATACAAGAATGACTGAACCCTGATACAGAGACTTTGTGATCCTCTCTGTCTTGCCAACAAACAATCTCTTTGGCCAGTCCAAGCCACATCTCCCAATTCTGTGGGCATCCAAATCTCATCGTGGCACAAGAATTGAAGGCTTCCAGCAATGACATGCTAGACAGCTATATTCTTTCAATCTTCTTAGAAAAAGATTGTACAAAGCATTCCCTTTGGGTGTTGTATTTTAAACAGAAAATTGTTTTTGTTTACTTTTGATGTGTTTACTTCTAACAGAAAGTATAAATTAATTAATTTATTTTGTCAAAAAGTAAGCATGTGAAATCTATTTGTGAATGCTTTTACAGAGCCATGAGGACTTGTGTTTTGACTGATTTATATTTCTCTTTTCTGTTCCACAGCTTGAGCTTCTCCGCTGGACAATACCTCCTGTGAACTGCCGGCTCCACAGCCACCAAACCAACCTGCACCATGTCATCTCTTCAAGAGATATGACTGCACAGCAAAAGAGAATATATTGTGCAAACTATGCACTAGCCAAGAGAGGAAACTAGAATCTGTAGGTCCCTGCTGCATTATTCTGATGACAAAGCACGTGGCACTTCCCAGTTAAAACAGTGAGCAGTTCTGGGTTTTTTTAAGTGTCGTTAACAACAAAAAATTCAGTAGAAAATTTCATGTCTTCTTCTTTTTCCATTGAAATTTTAAAATGGAGCATCCTTCTCTTGTCTCTCCTCATCTTTACTTGAACCATGACACGTTTTGTTTCTCATCCTCTTCCCTTAGTAACTTAGCGTTTGAATAGCCCAATGCTGCGATACAACCTTAAGATGCTGAGGAAGTTTAATTCCATTTCTACCCTACAGACAAGCACAAACCCTATTATTTGTCCCATCCTGTTCATAATCACCAGTTCCAGACTGTTTTCTCCTGACTGACAGGATACCATAAAGGCTGAGTTGAAGATACAGATGCAGCTCATCATCTGGCTGTAGCTGAACCTCTAAAAAGACTCTTTAGATATATTTGAGATGTAAATTCCTCCTTCTCCTTCTGTTTATGGCTCTGTCCCTACCTTCTGGCACCTGGTCTCTTTTCCACAGATGACCTGTTCAGACATAACTAATGATGCTGAGTGACTCAGTTCTGAAGGTGCCCAACAGCTTTTTCTAACAGGGCACAAATAGTCAGAAAATGCTTCCCACCCACTCCAGGCAGAGAAAGCACAGAAAAAACAGCAGCCAATTGCCAACTACAACAACTCTTTTAACCTGGAATTCTCTAGAGTAATTTCTTTAATGTCCTATGGCTGGGCTGTCCAATGTATTGGCTGTGTAGATAACAGAGCCTATAGATAACGGCCAATATTACAGCTCAGAGGCACTACACACTGTGCCAAGGGGCTACCAACGAAAAAAACTGCAGTTCTTAGAAGGCAACAATTCACCACAGTAATAAGCAGAAGTTGTCCTATCAACTGAATACGCTAAGCTATACACTTTGCAGACTATACATCTCCATAAAAAAAATAAGAGGTGTTTGAAATCTGCTCTATTTTCTGCTAAGAGTCACTTTTAGGAATTGGATAAGTTCTCATAACAGCTTTTGGATGCCTGCAGTCCAGACTTCCCACCCTACATGATTTAGACTCATCATAATTGAATTTAATGTTTCTCATTTATCCTAGTTCCAGACTGAGGTTATTATTATTAACCTCTTCCACTTTGGTAGACGTGGCAAGATTTGTCTGTGCTAAGAATACCAGTGACTTCCATCTCAAAAACCTGATGGTAAGGTCCAATTGAAATTGAAAGTCCGGAGGATGTGAGAGAACAGAAAGGATATAAGCGCAAAACTGGCCTCACAATACAAGTAGCATTTAAGTACCTATACTTTAAGTCACCAGATTTATAAAAGGTACTTTTCTATAAAACAAAAACACAGGTTCTAGCAACCTGAAGTACTAAAACCTACTAATTCACAGTCTAAGAAAAGGTAAAAATGAAAACACACTTATTGGTGAACTTTCTTCTACTTACACTGTAGCATTTTCACTAAAATAGGTTTGCGCATTCAAAAAGAAAAAAGCCACAAATTTTAACAAAATTACCCTCAGAAAGTGTGATTTAAAGTAAGTTTAACTTGAAATCCTCATATTTTCAAGATAACTTAAAAGCCATATGGATCTCAGAGCAGCAAACTAAAGCAGATTAACAGTAATACAAAACTGCTGTGGTTCAACCTGGTAGGCAGCTAAATACCACACAGCCATTCGCTCACTCCCTGCCCTCCCCAGTGGGATGGGGGAGAGAATCAAGAAAAAGAAGTAAAATTCGTGGGTTGAGAGACAGTTTAATAGGACAGAAAAAGAAGGCAAAATAATAACATTAATAATAATATATAAAATAAGTGATGCACAGTGCAGTTGCTCACCACCTGCCAACCAATACCCAAGCAGCGATTGCTGCCCCCCAGCCAACTCCCCCAGCTTATATACTGAGCATGACACCATATGGTATGGAATAGCCCTTTGGGCAGTTTGGGTCAGCTGTCCTGGCTGTGCCCCCTCCCAGCTTCTTGTGCACCTGGCAGAACACAGGAAGCTGAAAAGTCCTTGACTAGCATAAGCAGTACTTAGCAACAACTAAAACAGCAGTGTGTTATCAGCATTCTTCTCATACTAAATCCAAAACACAGCACTATGCCAGCTACTAGGAAGAAAACTAACTCTATCCCAGCTGAAACTAGGACAAAACCTAAATATTTTTAAAAAATGTGGATAACTGCAGAGCAAATACCTTTGTGCATCAGCTCTAAACTGTAACGGTAAAGAAAAAAATCAGGTTTCTGCATGCACATACGTATATGTGTGTGTGTATATATGTACATTTCCACACAGAGAGCTGCTGGGCTGCAGTAGCTAACTCTCAGAGCTGGATTCCACTGATGTTGAATTTGCCAGGCTGAGTGTTAATTTAAATCCTTTTTTACCTATACAAAACTGACCAGACTTCCTAAGGAGCCACAGAAACATGATAAATACATGGGGGGTGCTGTGGGCTCATGGGCAAGGACAGCCTCTTCTCAAAGCGGATCTGTGTTTAACAAAGCATTTCCTTGGGGAAGCAGGTCTTGTGCCTACCTTTCGCAAAGGCTTCAGTTTTGTCTCCATGATGAACTCATACTTGCACAGTTCACAGCATCGTGTATCTGAGCTCTTGATCCATTGCTGCAGGCAGGCTTGGTGTACAAAATGAAGACTTCCCGTGCAGTGACAGGGGGTAATCAAAGGGCTCTCATCATCTCCTTCACAGTGACATATCCTGAATCAGAAGCAAAGCTGCTCATTAGGAGAAGAGGAAGCAGAAAGGATGTGGAAGAGGCATGTAATATCTGTGATCACACACGGTTCTCCACTGAGGATCCTGAGACATACATATCAAAGGGTTGTGTTCCATAAAGGAGCTAAAACTAAAGAACTCCATTGCTGCGCAAGCACATACACAGGGACAAAACACTGCTAACTAGACAGCTGCTTTCTAACAGATGAGGCGGACACACAAAGCCTGACAGAATTGCAGTATCCAAAAGAAAAAACAGGGTAAGAAATGGCAACGCTTCATCTAGAACAATAGCACTTAACTGAAAATAGCATTTAAACAGATCAGACAGCACTTCCAAGACAAAATACGCATAGAGAGGTATAGCCACTCATGGATTACGATCTGAAACAGCAGATAAAACAAAATTCCCAAACCAATGGTGAAACAGCCCACCCCAGTATCACGAAGAGTTAATTTAGCCTGGATTTTGCACAAGAGAAGTGATTATTTCCAGTGCCAATTGCTGAGAGACAGATCCACACTGCAAGGCTACAGCACGGAATCTCCCCAAAATACACCTATTCTAAACGGACTAATGGTTTTGCTCTCCAATTCTTACTTTGCATGAGCTGCTAAAGAAGCATGAGATCTGCAAAATTCCCCATTTTCCTTACAGCCTAACTGTGCAGACAGCAGGGACACCCAAGATAGTGTTACTACCAGGTGCTGGCATTTGATTTCCAGCTTCAATTTACACACAACCCTTGGGTTGCATCAAACACCACTAAGTCCTTCTAACCATGTGGAATAGGTCATGAATTGAAAGGGGGATGGTAAGGAGCTCAGGGAATGAATGTAAGTTACTAAGCATATGTGAAGTATGTCATGGCATGCTGCCATCCCTGTCTATTACTGAAATCCCTTACTGCTGTGTAGCATCTTGCCTCTTGCGACCTTGCTGATAGCTGGCAAGTGGAAATGAAGGAGTGGGTGGATTACAACAGCATCTTGTTGATGACAAGCTGGTATGGAACTAGATTTTGCTGGTAATGAGGGGGGAAATCAAATAATATTGGCAAGTAGTAACAAAGCCAGCTTCAGAAAGTGCTGTCAGGGAGAAGAAAGATTAGGATAGTAAAATGCTAGGTAGAGGGACGGGACATTTGCTCCTGTACTTGGCGACTCCTGCTCCTCAGCCAAAAAGGAGCTGGGATGGGGCAGTCCTGCAGACAAGTCACCATGAACACAGTTAGAGCTGGCTGTTCCCACCACCTGTGCACGACTAATCCTCTGTAGTTGCAACAAGGATGCCCATCCTTTTTGGACCTCACACAGGCCCACCACTAACACCCAGTGCTCAAATCCCCCTTTTGACTAATGCATCCAGAAAGCCCTTTACAAATAAAAGAGTGTGGTGGAATACAAACTGCAAGGAAAAAATTTAAAAAAAAAAAAAAAAAATCGTAAGCTATATTGACCTGATCTCAGAAGCAATTTTCAAACAGTCTGTTTTCCTCCTGACTCCCCACCCTCTGACCAAACCAGCAGTGACTGTCAGGTCAACATGTTGCTCATTAAAAGCTAAGACGTGTTCAGCTTGGCCTTTAATATGCGTAGCTGATTCTCTCATGATATTCCCAGTTTGGGCACTGATAAGAGAAAAATACCATCTCAGAACCCCAAACCTGAAACAAATTGCAAGAGAATTTATTTGACTCCAAAGGAAATTCTTTTGTTTAGTAGCCTTGTTAAGTGCATCAGAGGGGTGCAGGACGGCAGAGAGAAGGCTGCATGCTTCAAATCGCACATATTAAAGCAAGGTGACAGGGTGAAAGAAAAGACAGAAACAGCACAAAGGTAGGGGAAAGAAGAACGGTCACCACCGCACATGGGAGGCTCGAAGGTAGGCGGTTCTCTGGTAAACCAACCTGCAGGTATCCCCCGATGTAGACACAGGGGAGAGAGGGGGGAATTTTTCTGAGAGGGGGGAAGGGCAGTCAAGGTCACTGTCCTTCTCAACTGAACAGAGCGGCGCCCGCTGCTCTTTTGTTTTCAATTTCACTGAGGTGCTGTCCTCAAAGACGTCATCATCTCCCATATCATCAGAGCAGAAGTCTGTGCTTTCCACCAGCACGCTGGAGGATTTCTCAGCTTGGAAGTGACTGGAATAGCTCTCCAGTTCATGGAACTTATGCAGGCTGCTGGTGCTGGAGGTGTGGGAGAAGGAAAAAAGGTAACGCAACAGTTTTTTGCTCCTTGAGGTGTCATGGTCCACTTTGTCCTCCAGCAAGGGGATATGTACAGCACTGTGGTTCTCTGCTCCTCCCGATGCACTCGAGTAGTTGGAAAGGGAAGGGATGTAGGAGTGCTTAGAATTGCTAAAAGAAAGAGGCCTGAGATTCAGCGGTTTTCTCTCTTTAAGATGAAATTTGTTAATCCTTAAACACTGCTCCTGAGTCGGGGTCAATTTGCCTTCTGAGCGTGTTCGCTCCACATAGTCAAAGCACTCACTGGTGCTCTGCGCCTTCTGGTCCATGTCATTGAGGGACTTGGAGAATTTCAGAGTGCGGGCGGGCTTTACATTCTTAGCAGACCTGAGTGCCTGGCCCCGATCCTGCCCACGGGAGTTTCTCTTTGCTGCATGTAACGTGTCCTGACAGATTACTGTCACAGTGACCCCTTGTGTCAGAGGGCTCTGGCAGTGAGGATTTTTCAAGACAACAGCAGACTGCACTGGACTGTGATGACAACACTCAGAAAACACTGCACTGGAACTGCATGCAGAACAGTGGAATAAAAGCACAGAAAGTAAAACACAATTACATAAGAGAACACATATAATTAAAAGTGAAGAAATGAGAATTATGGCTAGTGTGGGAATGGCAAAAATAGCGGGGCCAAACAGTCAGTGGGATTCAACGAAGCAGTGTTAGACAGCAGTCGAGTCAAACAAATGGGATGCTTCATATGGGAACCCCACATCGCTTACTTCCCCATACATGCGTTTTTCCAGTTTTGTTTTCTCTTAATTTGAACCTTGCACGAGCCTCACTGTATCCATGCAAACAACACACTTTACCTGCAGATGTCCTGGTTGGATGGTGTAACAGAAGTCCGAGAGAAGCTATGAGGGGCAGAGATAGAAGTTGGACTTCCAGCCTGCAGTGAAATTAAAACAAACAAACAAACAAACAAAAGCAAGTCACAACTTGGAAGAGTTTGGTATGCATAGCAATCACCTTCAGGGTTAAACACAGCATATGGAGTCAGATATCACTCTACATCAGATATTCAAGGGCTAGTTCCAAGAAAGTGGCTTTACTGTCAAATGCTAGAAAGGGAGGTCATACAGCCTCATCCTTGGAAAAATAGTAATCAGAACAGAAACGTTTTGCCCCAAGGTCAAATGCAGCCATCTCTGGAGCAGAACCTGCCAGCTGTCAGACATTGCACAGAACAATAGCTCAGGAAATGAGCAATGCTACAGTAATTAGAATAATTAGATGGAGGTGTGTGTATAGACTAGTCGGAATTTAGCTACCACATAATAGCTAATCCTTCCACTTATAATGATGACAAGAGATTAGAGGCTTGGGTTTTGGTTTTTTTTTTTTTCACAAGACAGAGCCATCAGTAATTCAGTAACTCGGACACTGTTTGGGGATTTATTTTCCAAACTAGCATATGCACACAAGCACCATCTGCCAAACCAGACCATTCCCTGAAGTACTCTTTGTACTTTGCGAGGCCTTTCATCCCGCTCTTACTCTGACAGGGACCTCCACCTACTTGGAGAAGAGGTGTGGCAGCAGTCAAATGCGTAAGACCCAGCAAGAGCACAGCAAGAAACAGAATAACTGAATAATTCAATTCTGCTGAACTAACTCAAAAAAAAAAAAAAAAAAAAAGTTATGCTCTTGGCATATTTAACACTTAAAAGACAAGACTCTAAAATCAATACGATAAGAACGATCATTGTCTCAGAGTTGGAACTCAATGGGCTATTATTACAGGCCTCTTCTGCTGCTGTATTCTGTGGGTCACTAACAGAAACTTCTTGACTCTTCCTAGAGGTTTTGGCAAGGAGAAGACCTGCGTTGATAACCTTGTAATAGAGAATCTTTACACCTGGTTCTCCCATGTTCCACAGCTGCTGGATAGGCTGTGCCACTCACCCACCACTGCAAAACACGGCTCACATTTCAAAATTCAAACAAAGGTTTACAGCTCTGTTGATCTGCAAAGCAAAGCCTGAAACCCAGGAAGGAACAACGCAATCAGCGGAACAACACAAGTGTCAACACTACGCTGGACTGCACAAAGTCCAGCAAAGCCAGCACAGACCTGAGCCAGGCAAGTGCACAAAACCAGACAAGGAGAGACCTCAGGTCATGAAAGGTGTGCTGCCACAGAAGCATGCTGTGCCCAGCCCTGTACTTCAGCTTGAGATGCCAGAGCTATCTCAGTCATCACTGCTTTGATCATCTCTGGTCATGGTGCAACACACACTCACTATATCTTTCTCAGGTCTCTTCAATTCTATGCTTAATTTATTAAAAGCCCCTATGGTATATTTAAACAAGGCCGCTGCAGGCTTTTACACTCTCATAGCAAAAGCAAGGTTCCTTGTCACACAATCTACTCCTCTTTCTTTGCGAGAGAAGATGGGTATACTACGATACACATGCTACTCTATAAATACAGATACAACCATCATCTTCCATGTTACAGGACTCATCTGTTAAGGTTTTGTTTCTCTAGCCAACAGCACTACAGAGAGCAAACTATCTGGCCTCAGACTGGGATGTCTCAGGTGCACGGAGCCTGAAAAAACAGGTATCCATTTGCAGCTGGGTCTGCAAGAGTGAAGGGCAAGACTCAAGCACACACCTCTTGACCTACTGTAGCAAGACACTGTAACTTATTTCACATCCTACCCATCTGGGTACATGTATAGAATAAAAACCAAGAGAATAACCTTGGGCCAGCAAACTGAACTATGTTATGACTGTGACAAAACAAATTAAAGACTTAAAGATCAATTATTAGCTTTTTGCTGGAAACTGGTTCTTTACATTTTACACCACTTGCACATGCTAATGAGATAGGATGCTGATCATACAGTGAGGTGAACGCAGGTATTACTTGGAAATTTGTTCTCTATTTGATGCTTAACCTCTCCTAAAAGCCGGGACATCTCTGACTTCAAATCCTATCTTTTAAAAAGAGTTGTGCAGTAATTACTTTTTCTAAAAGAAAGACTGACAAGTTAGTGAAAGACCTGACACACTATAATCTGCTGCTATAATTATGCAAATGAAAATTAATAAGACTTAAATAATGAATTATTTAAAAAGACATATTTAGCAATCTTCTAAGAACAAAATATTGAACCAGTAAAACAGCACGTTGCATTCTGCCATGGAAAGAGAGTCATATATTGTTGGAACTGAAGTCACAAATCAATTAATAAATCTGTCTCAGGTTTTATGTTATGAGCAAATCATAGAAGGTAACCTGCTTAGAATGAATCTAATCTCTCTACTCCTTTGCTTTAGCAATGAAGCTTTCCAAAAAAACACAGTGGTATATATGATGTGACAGTCTAGTAGCGGACGACTAGATTCAATGATCCAAAATTTCCCTTCTGAAACCACATTACTGGTTACTTGATCCAACTGCCTGGCACCAAGACAGTGTCAAAGTCTCACCACTTGGGAAATCAAGTTTGGCTAGGACAAACAAGAAACTGTAGAATTTAATCTGCATTTCAAGCTTACTATTCTGTTTCTAGATGCCAGCACTGTTCAGGACAGCTTGCAAAAACCCCACATCTGAGGCACATTTCCTCTTCCTCCTATCTTCCTGCTTCAATGTAGGAGGTCCTTTGCTCCATCTTTATACATAATGCAAATGCAACCAAAATATGAAAAGAAGTTAACACACTTGGAAAGGCACCACGAAGTGGAACAACAAAACACTGGAGGAAGTTATGCCCCACCTCGGTTTAAGCTGTGGCTACCACCAAAAGCTGTGGTTCAATGAGCCTCCCGTCTCTCAGTCTGTCCTCCTTTCCTCCCATACTTTTTGCTTCTGAAACTATTATGCAACTGCATTGTAAATCAGATTAGGAGAGTGAGGTGAGGTAAAACTACCCACTTCTTTTACTGAGCTTGTTTAATGCCAGTCACTTCCCTAGCTTCAGCTGCCAGGGGAACACCAGTCGGTTAGAGCAATGAGCCCCTAATGGCGAGGCACAACTCACTGACAATAACAGAGCATAGTAAAATGCAAGCTGTTGCCAAGAGCCCAAGAAGTAAGTTCTGCCAGTCCTAGAAGCAGAGGTGCATGCAGCTGACACTCACCAGTCCACACAGCTCGCCTGGGTTTACTGACTCAGATACGGCAGCTATCAGGCAGAGAGGTGCCACAGAAAAAAAGAAACACTGGCAGCCTTGGGCCAGAACAGGGCAAAGAAGAGGCAAAGTGACGGGCGAATGCGACAGCGAGGTGGATCCAGTTACTGCGGAGCTCTGACATTGCTCCTATGCAAAGCTCAGCTCTGAAGAGTCTGGGAAAGTAAGCAATCCAAGCCTTCACCGCTCTGTAGCTTCCGGCACACACACCATCCTAAATACCCCAGCAGGAGCCTCCCAAGTAGCAGCACCTTTGGTTGAACTGGCTCCTTACGATGGTGACAGCAGCAGTAGGTTTTAAAGCACTCCTTGTCATATGAGGTTTCTGTCATGCTCATTATGTGATGGCTAGCCCAAGCCTTGACAGCCTGAATTCGACCGTTCTAACCCCAGAACCACTGGCTGAATCTCTGTGGACTTTCACGCCCTTCGCATGGAGGACTATCACCTCCAATGACAAGCCTTGGAGCTATGTGCTCTTGAGTTACCCTGTACAGCCAGACTGGTTGCCTAAAATAGCTCAGGACTAAAGGTCAATAGTTAGTTAATTGTGTATATTGACATTCCCATCTAATGCAATTCAGTGAGGTCACAGTGTGGCCTTCTGCACTGGTGTTTAGATAATCACAGTGACTCTGAAGGCAGCAATCCCTGGAAGCCTACAGCTCTCTGGAGGGTTGCCATCATGAAGAAATATGTATCTTTTTATATATGTGTGTGTGTGCGTGCATATATATATATATGTACATATGTGTATATATATATAATGTGCTGCCATAGCTGGTTGTTCTCCTTCTGCCCCCGCTCCATGAACAGTGCCATCTGTTGGTGAAAGAACTCAGCCTTTTCTGATTACGTATTTGTGACTGCCTGCTGCACACCAAAAACCCCACCCTGCCTAAAAAATAAAGTCATCTTTGAAGTGAGCCACAGTGAACATGTCAATGGCTTGGGTATATTCCAAGATAACCTGCTTATCTGAGATGGCACTTCTGGATATAGTTGCTGTTGTCTCACCCTGGGCTGCTCTTCAGTAGTAGCAATTATACGTCATTTTAAAGAGGGCCTATCTCACTTTCTAAAAACTTTATCAAATTATTCACTGAAGGTAAAAAGGTAGAAACAACTTAACTCCATAAGAATTCCTCCACTGATTGGAAGCCTGAGGGAAGCAAAAAAAAGTTTCCCCCCACACCTGCAAAATTCCTAATTTCTAGGTGTCACATGAATAGGAACAATACTGTGGCCCTCCTATTTGTGCTACAAAAACACCTAGAAGTCTCAGCTAAGGACCTGGAACTAACATACTAAGCACTATACACATTTAATAATGGAGCACACCTCTCCTTTGAGCAGACAAAGGGTTAGAGACAAGCAGTGCAATTTTAAGTCTTTTACTGAGGAGGACCTGCAGCACATGGAGCTTCAGACAAATACAAATTTAGCAATAGAGCAAGGAGCCAAACACTCCACAACCTAAATTGCAACCTGGCATTTTGCCTATGGGTTTGCCTTTATTTTCCACTGTGATGAACCCATTTCAAAACTATGCTCTTCTGCTGGGCTAAAAAAAAAAAAAAAAAAAAAAGAGAGCAATAAAAATCCTAAAAGGCAGCTGCACGGGCTCTCAAAAAGACTGATGCTAGAGGATGTCTTCAGTGCCACTAGCCCATCGCAGCAGTTTCTGTCTGCCTCCTTCCCCTGTGAGAATAACAGGAGCACAGTGATGGTCATCTCCACTGA